CGGTGGTAGAGTACTTGGAACTACGGTACCCACATGAATGCGACTGCGTTCTCTATCGACGTAGTTAATTAGTTTTACTCTGTTCCCTGGGAGGGTCTCTTCGCGTCGGTGCGGGAGTGTATCGACGAAAATGGTGTGGTCAAGTTTCAGAACACTGGCGGTGTCGGTGTTGATGGTTTCTTGGAACTGCTCAGGTCCTACTTTGAGTCAACTTTCCTTCTGTTTAAAGGCGTGTATAATTTATAAAAAGAAGGAATTTGCATAGGTGCATGGCATGTGCCTATGCAAATTTCTTTTTTTTTTGCATAGGCACATGGCAGGCACCTATGCAAATTCCTTGCTGCAAAGCACTTCGAGCTATGCATGCCCCGCATGCATAGCTCAAGTGCTTTGCAACATTTTTTTCGCTAAGATTGACCAAACCATTAGCAAAACTCGGGTGCGACTGTGATCTAACGTAAGACGAAACAAACTACCAGGGCCGTGTTAAGGAGCTCCCCAGTGATACACGGGCCGTTCAAAAAGGGTGGCCCGAGTTGGAGTGCATATAGCCATTTCCGTCCGAAGTGCACTCCGGAGTGCGTATAACTTTACTCTTTCATTAAAGAAGCTGTGCAAGGATTTTAACGTTGAAAGAATTGGCATCTTCTGCTTTAGATATTGTTCATTGTCACAAATGACAGAAAACACACCTCCTTTCATGAAAATGTTGCGATTCCGACGCATAATAATGAGGAAAAACTTAGAATATTTCCCGACCTGCAGCCACGAGCGGCGGCCATTAAAAACAAGCGGCATGAAGTCAGTGGGGAATCTTGTAGAAAGATAGGAAGTTGTGCGAATACCTGCTCGATAAAAGGTAACTTTTCTATAAATCTTGTCGTTCCAACATATATATAAATGCGTCAAAACCCTGGTATCATCGACAAAACTTTTATTCTACGGAGTTTTAGTGGCGCCATCCATCCTAGGTCCACAAAACCGCGAATAGCCGCCAGAAGCCGGAGGGGGAGGGGGACAGCGCCGGACGGGCAAGGACGAGTATGGCCGGACCCGGATGAGACTTTCCTCCTTTCACCGTATATTTCGTGGTCGCGAGCGGATGAGTTCTCGCTGATGGCTCTAAAGAGAGAACTTTTCCGGAACCCCGCGCCTACTCAAGTGACGTCACTGCGCACGTGACCCGGAAGACGATGTACGAGTTGAGAGGCGGCAAGAACCTGGATCTTTTTCATTTTTTTTAAATAAAAACTAGGGTATCCAGGCAAAATCTGTTTTCTGTGGTTCACTTCAGAAGTGTCGGGCACCAACTCGTTTTGACAATTCTCTTTATACGAGACCTTCGGACGGCACCTGAAGGCGTGAGTGGAGTGCCGTCGGACCGAGGGACACAGCGCTGTGTCTGTGTCCCTTCTTCTACTTGTCCTTGTGTTCGTTTGGGCTGTTTTATTTCTATGTTTACAAGGTACTCTACACACTACGTTTCATTAAACGTTCAGTTGAAGTTCGGCACCCGTCCTGTCCATTCCTCCCTTTGTCTCTATTTTTCGCGCGCTGTTAACAGTTTGTAATTATGAACCAACTCGCCGGCATCGCTACATTGATCCACTACTCGTTCACCTGCGAGACTCCGCGGCAAAAGCGCGAAAAGTCGACGTTGAAGAAGTCTTACATGAAGCGACGGCCGTAAGCAGGGACTGGCGAAGTTTATTTCAACGCTATCGCCTCGCACCTAACGATTCAGTCTCGGGTACAGTACCTGTTTGTTGAGCAGAGAAGTCTTTCACGCGCCACAGTTGATTTTCTTGTTGCTCATAGGAAAGTTAAACGAGTCATGGATTAATGAACACGGCTGCTATGCACGGCTGAAGCTGAAGCCTTTGAATCGGGCGGCGTCTAGCGCCCTCTAGTCAGTAAGAATGAATGGACAAATGGGTGATAAAGGCCCCCCTCTCCTAACGAAAAGGGGGCATACACATACAATGCCCGCGAAACGCTTCCTTTGCTCCCTTCTGCAATTCTTTGACTGAGGCTCGAGAGCGTGACGAGAGCGACTCGTACGAAAAGCGACCACCGACGTTCCCACTGCGGGCGCTTCTCGAAAGCCGCCGTCGATACAGCGCACCCCGGCAGAAGATCGCGTTTCGCTGCTTTTCTATTTCCGTTACGTCACAGCTGTACACCGGTCGTCGTTGCCATATGAAAAAGACTGGTTATGTTGACCTTCGGAACCGAACAAAGCACAATCGCTACATTGGCGTGCCCTCGCTCGAGCTACGACCGGGTTTTCGCACAACAGAAATAAACTACACATTGTGGGGAGCTCTAGCTCCGTCAAACCGCAGCCCCAACCGCTCGAGCAAGATGCCAAAATGGCCACACTTACCATTACGGGAGTACTAATGGCGAGTTCGTTTCACGGCACTCGTGCCCACGCGTGCCCACTCGCAGCGTGGAACGGGTTCGTTTCGGCCGGCACTCCGCGAGTGGTTGCACTCTCCGAGTTCGTTTCAGCGCTGATACCCCACGCGTGCATGCACTCGCTGCACCGAGAAAATCGGGAGTGCGCCAAAATGCAATCCCGTCGTGCCTCGCTCCGGCGGGGCCGGCGAGGAGCGGGAGCAGACGACGAGGGTTCGTCTGCTACGATGTGTCGCGGAACCGAACGGGAAAAAAGCTGATTTTCTGATAGAAATCGCGTCCCGCGGGCAACGAAATGAAACGCGAGCTTGAATTGTGAGCGTCTGCTATTTCACGAAGGAAGCAACTGACAACCCGTAATTTATTTGCAGGTTTTAAATCGCTCTGTTGCCGTACAAACGCTGAAATATACCAGAGTGTAAGGAAATGCTCAGAACAAACGCAACAGCGGCCCCCAAGATGTCTATCACCATCCGTGTGCGGGTCAAAAACTTAACATTTGTCGATAAAACTCCTCCGGCAGAAACCTCTGACTGCCCAATAAGCATCAGAGAAAGCTAAAGATGGTGACTTTACCCGAGGATTGGGCAACATCATCATGTTTAACATTTACCTACGCAGCTAACTTGCCCCGTCGTATTTTGTTCGAAAAAGCTCACATTCTCGACGCCCTCACCTAGGCTAATATCTAATCCACCTATAACGATCCAAATCGAAAGTCCCAGTTTTGCTGGATATTCCAACAGGCTAGTTTTAAGCCGTACCCTTCAGTGGTTCACGCATAATACCATGCTCAAACGGATCAAGCTTCTGCTCGGAGAGCATCATCAGTTTTCTTCAGTGTAAACGGTTATAAGGATTGAAAGATCGCAACCAGCTGCTTTGTAGACAGCTGGTTGCGTAAATTTACGCCGTCTGTAACTATCTCTACGGCAGCCGAGCTGCTTGAAGACATCGCAACTATAAACTACAGGTTGCAGTTGCCAACGTTTGTAGATAAACGTTGGTAGCGACTGCATTCTCACATTCCCACGCATCACTCGGAACAGAAAGGCGCTAGTTTCGGTTTGAAGTCGGTACCTTTTCTACAACATAGATGGCGGCAGCATCAGTCTTCTGCACTCGGTGCATTTGGCGTGTTCGTTTGAGTCCAGTTTTCTGTGCAACACTCTGTGAGTGCGACGCATTCTGGGAGAGAACTCGAACGGTGCCAGTGCGCGTGAAACGAACTCGCTATAAGTTAGAGGTAAAAAAACTGCTCGTGCCGAGGAGAGGACGCCGTCCGTGAGAGGCAGCAGACGAAACGCCTGTTTGCAAGCGCATCTAAAAGATGGCACCTTCATCGGCCGAGGGTCAGAGCCGTATATTGGCTCTGCCGAGGGTCAAGCGGCACGGCGGTTATTTCAATTTCTGCTAATAAAAAACTTTCCAATCAATTAGTTAGTTTCGGTTTCGCCTTGTGGTTTGCGGCACAGCACCGGACTGTTGTTTTTAAACTCAGGTTAGGCTCGCTAACGTGTTTATTTGTATAATGCTTTTGTTTATCGTGCATAAATGTGTTTTGTTGCTTTACCAGCTTGCTTTGCATTTTTCTTGTTGTTACTTGAGCCTTTCACTGAATTACAGCCAGCACAGTAGACCGGCTCAGCTGGCCAGCACGCATCTCCGAACCTAACGTTTCCCTTATACCCTTATAGCATCCTCGATCATCCGCACCGGTGCGCACCGGGGCACTGAGGTGCGCCCCTTCATCTTCGATCAAGTGCACCGGTGCGCACCGTACGTCCTCGATCAACGAAGCGCACCCTCCCGGTGCGGCTTTTCGTTGCCCCAACGCGCACCAAGAAAATCGGCGGTGCGCCGGGGGGCAGTCCCATCAGGCATTGCGGCCAGGAGCGGGAATCGAGAAGATGGCGGGAGTAGCAGACGCGCAGACTATCGAGATGGCGATCTTGCAAAAACGAACACGCCTCGCAGCTGCACTATATGATTTCCTCGGGTCTTCTGACGGCGAGACGACGAGCTTCTCACCATCGCCGCGATTACTGGAGATTGCTGCGGTGGCAAGGAGCGCCCGAAAAGCACGAACTTCGTGGAAAGCGGTGCGAGGCGTTTCGATGACAGCGAGGTACGGCGATTACCTCGTGTTTGGTTTTCTTGAACTAATAATGATGGCCAACATATACATGTGGAATTGTCACCCGCTTCGTGACCCCATCGACAATCACGTCCACGATGTTTACTTCTGTGGGACCGTCAAATCCGCGAGTAAAAAAATAGAAGAAATTGACAGCAGACGGGCACCGTGCGCTGACCTACGCAAAATAAACGAACAAAACGCGAAGTGACGCAAGGTGGAGCTCGCCGCGGTGCACCGGCGAGGCGCAGTTTGTCCTCGATGTTGCACCGACATCGCGCTGCACGACCGAGGAGCGCTGTGCACTGTGCTGGTTTCAGGGCGATTCCGGTGCGAGTTGAACGAAGATGCTAGTAGCCGCGGTTAGCGCTTCGAGCAAACGGGCCCAGGCAGAGAAAAGAACACACCTTGGAACTACGATCTTCTCATCATTATCCCAATATCAAGTCCATAAATCTGGATGTAGGTGACGTGGTACTTGTTGAAGAAAATAGCTGTCCACGATATCTTTGAAAACTGGTATAAGTTACGAAGATCGTCAAAAGAGAAGATGGTCACCTGCGAGCGTGCATCGTCAGGGACCAACACGGAAATGTCTTTCAAAGACCAGTTCAAAAGCTATATCTCCTTGAGACTCATCCCGCTTCTCCGTCTCGGGAGGATGTGGAAAATGAAGAATCATGAAGTGGAAACAACAGGGATATATTGAAGACGACGACGAGGCAGGAAGATTGTATAAGAACGACCGATTAAACGGTACGACATTTACTGCTCGGTCTATTTAATTTTTAACCGAGAAAGATCCTTGACAGACCGCATTAGTGTAGCTTTCACTGCCTTCGACAAGGCTTCTGTGTGTCTCGCGCACCTCAAGCGCGCGCATGCAGCCAGAGCACAGTGCGGAAAACATGGAGCGGTTCTCGTCCAAAAGAAGGCAAAAGAAAAACAGGCTTCCGAAAGCCGACAAAATGTGGTCTTACCGTCAGCGTCGAAGGCTTTGCACTTGCCGTCCGGCGACAGCATGCCGAGGCGGTAGTAGTTGAGTGCCGTGGCGGGCTTGAGCGTCAGCGTGCTGCCCCCGACCAGGGCCGCCTCACACTGTCCCGAGCGCAGCGCCAGCATGGCCTGGTTGAGCGCCGTCATGGCCGACGAACAGGCCGTGTCCACAGTGAAGCTCGGCCCTGGGAAATTATCCAGGCACGCCGCCCGTCAAGCCTCCTCCCACGCCGGAGACCGGAACGCTACCGAGTCTCTCTAGACTCGTTGAAGCCGAAAGTTCACGGAGCCCGCCGGTTAGACTTTGCCACCAACTTTATGTATGACGAACGGCCTCAAAAGTTAAGCTTTTCAACCTTGCGGAACCTCAATTGGCTCGAGTGGCAGCGGAGGGACCCTCTCCCAGTCTCGGCGTCCATCCAATAAGGCAACGGATAGCGGGACGTTCAAATAGGACAACCAGGGCCGGCCATTCTACTCCCTGAGGAAATTACTCACCTTTGAAGTCGAGGGAGTAGGAGACCCGATTGGAGAACATGGCCCGACAGCAGCCGACCAGAGCGTAGCCGTCGATCTTGTCCGTGTCCACGCTGAAGGCCTCGAAGGTCTCGGACTCGCTGCTGCCCATGAAGACTCCGATCCTGCGTCCCCGCAGCGTGCCCGGGTCGTAGCCGGCGTCCACGATCGCCTCGTACGACGTCTCGAGGAACAGGCGCAGCTGCGGGTCCATCACGTGCGCCTGCTTCGGGTGCACGCCGAAGAACTGCGCGTCGAACTGGGACAGGTCCCGGATCTTGCCAGACCGTTCGGGAAGGCCCAGCAGCCCTGCAAGAAGAAAAAAAATGACTGTCTTTTTCCGAAAAGTCTGAAAACAGCACACCCCTCTTCGCGCTCTTTCTTTTGCGGGCAGCGGGACAATGCGAGGATTCTGTGAATCGAGAGTATTAGAATAGGCGGCCCCAAAACTTAGGCGCCTCAAAGAAATGTGGGATCACCCCTGCGCATGCGCAGAACCAAAACTCCGTTTGGGGTTTTATGTTGGCGCTCGCCCCCCACGCAATATTAGAGAAATAGCTTAGGGCCCCCAATTGCTTGGGGCCAGGTTGCGTCGGCACACATGGCGGCGCCCTTTCCGCTCGCTTCAAAGCAAATTCGTCATGGTCGCTGCAGTATTAGCCAATTTAATTGCAAATGAATGATTCAACCGGCTGTCGCTTTGCTTTATCTTGCTCAAGTCACAAAGAATGAGCGGTGGGCTCGCCCCATTTTAAAGATCGTTCCTGGTTCTGGTCACTCCTAAGCCAAAAGAGACGCGGTAACCGTTTCGTTTGAGTGGATTTAGTCCGTGGCACGGATACCTGCAGCTTAAAGACAAGTATTTCAAGGCTTCAAGGTCGCTCCAGCTCAGATCTAAATAGAGCAGCTTGTCGCAGAGTAGGCTCGCTTTCGTTCGTCTAAGTTTCGGCATAGCTGAAGGCCTCAATATTCAGCGACATACGGTCAAAGCGCACACGAACGCCCCAGATTCCGAGAACGAGCGGCAAATTCGAGCGATACGGATTGGATTGTTTCGGCAGTATACAGCCAACAACCTCTATACTGATTTTAGATTGTCCTCTTGTTTTAGCCGGCTTTATTGGGAGTTACATTAACTATTACTTCTAAATAAAAAGTACTTGCTAAGCGCACATGTTTTACGCTTTTTTTATATTTTGTTTTTGATTATTACGCTCGTTTGCCGCATTGGTGCAGCAAGCGGGAGACGTAAGCGAGCTGCGCTACGTTGCGAAACACCTATTCTATAAGCCGTCGACGCCAACCTGTTGCATTTGGGTCCCCCCATTTCTTAGAGGAACCCAAACATTGGGGCTTCCTATTCTGAAACTCTCTAATATCTGGCACAGGACGTTATAGAGTCGGGTAACGTCAAATCGTCACATGATGCCATCAAAGCTTTGTGCCACGGATACAAAATCTCTTGAGGCTAGCGCTGTAAATTCTATGAAACACCTCGTTATAGAAAAAGGGTCCGTGCATTTCTTCGCATCTCTCGGCGCTCGATATCTTATGGAAAAATAAAAATGCAAGCTTCAGGTGTAGTTGTCTCCGAACGTTTTTTGGCACTTACCCAAAGCCAAACACCTGATTGGTTATATCGTGTTATTTTTTTTTTTCAAATTCTGAATATCCCAGCCGTAGGTAATTCTGGAGATTGGAAGGGCTTAGCAAATAAACAGTCTGGATAACTGGATGATTTTGCGCACCACGTGAACATATGAGCATAACCCAATGTGAGTACAGCCAAATGTGAGCACAGATCAGGGCTGGGAAGAAATACTCCCAAATGCATTTGGAAATACAAATACTGGGACACATTAAAATATTAGTTAAAATACTGATACCAAAATATATCTGTAAAAATGTATCGCGGTATACGTATCGGAAATACATTTTAAAAAGAGGAAAAAGTCTTTGGAAATGCAAATACGGGAATTCATTTTAGGGAGGGCAGACATACAAATACAGAAATACTGAGACAGCAATACATGTTCAAATTTGTTTGAGACGCCAACTGAGGTGAAGCTTCAAGTCTGAAGTGGAAGTTTTTGATCCCGAAATTACTTTCCCGTAGGCTTGGCACTTTGCCTTGAAGGGAGTGGTTTCGGACGTCGAGGAGTCTTCAATGGGCTCAAAAAAGCGTTCCATCAACGACTGTCCGTGGTCCCCTCCCTGCAACGAGGTAGAGGGGTTCCGGTCTGCACTCAAAAGCGACCCCGATAATAGCCGATTCACACGACGGACCGAATCGCGATTTTCGTCCGCGGACCGTGTACCACGCGACCGGCACGTCACCGATTCCTGCGATCCGCGCCTCCTCCGCGGAGGCGCGGACTGATAAAGTCGAGCGCCTTTTTCACTCGCGGACGTTTGGCGGCAGATTGACTTGGAAAGCGTTTAGTCTGGCAACGGTACATTGTTTTCTTGGTTTTTTTTGCTTCTGGGCGTTCAAAACAAAATGGCGCGTCGTTGTGTTTTGTGCGTTGTTGGTTCATTTTGACGCGCGATTCTTGGTTCCACGAGTGAAAGAAACTCTAGAAACTTGTCTGGCTGACGCGACGCAGGTTTCGGTACTCTTCCGGGTCCGTGTCAAGAAGCTCCCGCCAAAATTTGTCTGGCACGCCGCGGTAATTCTTGCACGTCCGATCAGGATTTCACCGAGCAAGACCTCTCTTGTAAGTTGTGAATGTGGTGTGCTTGAGTGTTGTGCACGAGCGCGGAGTGCGTGAAGGCATCTCCAAACGCCCCTCCGCGAGCCCAGAACTTCGTCGTGTCTACGCCGAGGCTTTCTCGAGCAGGACCATGCCTGTCACTGTCATGCTTTTGGTTAGTAAAGTTAGTGGCGCTTGGTGCGAAGCCTGCCCCGGTGTTTTGTCTCGAACTGCGCGTAACAGCAGCGTACGATTCTCAATCGCGGTAGCAAACGTCGATTTCTCTCTTGGACAACGGTGCCACGGTGCGATGTTGGAGTTTCGCGGCACTGTGGGGTGGCGAGCTGGATCGGTCCGTCCTCGCTGGCGTCTGCTCGTCGTCTCCCTCGTGTGGATGCGCTTGGGAGACGGATGAACCTCGGATATGTCATCACGTGATCAATCCGTCCGCGGATCAGTCCGTCGTGTGAATCGGCTATAAGGGGGCTGCCATTGTACGCAAATGTGACGACTTGTCACGTGACCAAACCAAATACGTGACGTCACAGGAAAGATGGCAGCGCCCAGGCAGCGACTGGCCCCAGCTGAGCCGGAGCATTGGCCGGAGATGGTCGGATGCTTTGTTCGTTGTCGTTTGCCTCGGCCCGTTGATTTCAGACGCGGAAGCCGTCATATGAGGCCGGTCGAAAGCAACTTCAGAGTTCAGCATGGTGTCTCACGTAAGTATAATGTGAAAATACGAAGGAACGGTGTGCATTTCGCTGGTGATCGACATTGATATTGCCACGAAAGAGACAATCGGCCCTTCGTTGCTCGGTTTTCAGATTGATTCGGATATCGCTGGGATAAATTTTAAGGCGAAGTTTCTGTGCTCTCGTTGACCACTGGAATCTTCAAGGTCTGAGGTGAAGCGTGTGCAATGTATCTGGATACAGTTTAGATACAGAAATTGCGTGAGTCGGGCTTGGCAGTGTGCAATCGTGGTGCAGCTTCGTTCAAATAACCAAAGGCTCACTTTGGTCGTGCTGCGCACTGGAGAGCTGCCTTGAAGTTGGTAGGTCCCGTGTCGTGCTGAATGATGCTGTTTTGCTTCCCAAACTGTTCCGGTGGAGACGTGCACTTTCCCGGAGCACAGGTGTGCGGCACACCGAAGAGCTGCGTTTAAGCTGGTAGTTCCTGTGCCGTGCTTAAAATGAAGCTGTGCTGCAATTATTAAATTGATCAGGCGTAGACGTGCACTTTCATGGAGCACAGGTGCTGCAGTTGGTATTAATTCCGCTGGTCTGTCGCACGTTTCGTCGACACAAACGTTTCATCAACACTCCTTACGCGAATTGCAAGCTGTATGGACATTTCCTCGTGTTACCTACCCAGCTCACCCGTTGATGCCGCTTTGCGGCAACAGTCTGCAGTGGCTTATTACCAGAAAAGTGGTTCCACATCCATTTCAGTTCAGTTCGTCCACAGCAGTCGCCAAACCCCGAAAAAGAGGAGGATTTATTCGGACACAATGCCACTAAAGCAATGCAGCTACTTTAATGGTCAGGATAGACTCTACTCTGTCAGTTTTGTTATCTTGTCACGGATGTTTGTTTCAGTCCTATCTTCTTTCAATACTTACTATTCTGGAAAGTTCCAGGCCATGCTCGGCCATCATCGTATGTTCTGGTGGAGGTGCTGGGTACTTTACCCGTGGCCCTTCACTCTGTGTGCACCCTGGTGGCTCCTCAGCCGAGTTGCCCGATAACAGGACACGGGTGGCAGACTATCCCGCGTCTTAAACCACCGGCGAGCCGTGAACCAATTTGTATCCCGAGCCCGGCTGAAAAACTGCAAGACGGGCGAGTACCACAAGAACGAATCTCGCAAATACACCACGAAGAATCTGAAGTCCGAGCCAGTCGCTGCTACCTAAAAGAACCACCGGAATTCGGTCTCCTTCCAGAAACACCGAAGCTAAGCTAACAATGAAACCTGTAGCAGCAAACTGCGTCCGTTCCCACCATTGTTTGCATACCCGTCGCGCCTCACACTCCGACGCCTTTTCACGCAAGGTGTTTGAAGACGTCGAGGACTGGATCGAACAATATGACCGTGTTGCCCGCCACAATGTGTGGGTAGGCAGCACACTCCTGCAGAACCTATACTTCTCCTGGAAGAAACTGTCAGGCACATTTCCGAGAACCATGAATTCCCCTTAACGTCGTGGGAAGTTTGCAAGATCGAGCTGAAGCGCATGTTCATCAGCCAACATCGACTAGAGAGAGCTGCATTCCTGATTTTGTCCAAAACACGGCCCCAACGAGAGCGTCACCGCTTTCGTGGAGGATATATTGCGCCTGATTGTGTGCCTACGCCGACCCTGATGCTACAGAGGACAAGAAGCTAAAAATTCCATGTCTATCATGTGAGGGACAACACCTTCGGCAGCCTTTTCCACAATCCCCTGACAACAGCCGAAGGGTTGATATCACCGAGGCTTAATTCCAACATTGAGCGTGCACTGCATGCCCGAGCCTGTCACAATCAACAACTTCCCGGCGTATCGACACTAGAGTCGTCCAGCTGCAACTTCGACGCCAGCCTCCCAGGCGTCCGCGACATCATCTACGACGC